TACATACATACATACATATACATAGACAGATAGATACATATATATATATACATATATATATATATATGTATGACATGGTCTTCCCGCGAGTCGGTTGTTGTGAAGTTGGAGCTCGGTGCCATAAGCGCTTCAGGGAGCGGGCCAATCACTCGAAGGTGATACTGTCTTCGAATCAGGGACACTATGTCAGGTTATGTCAGGGCCTCCGGAGTACACCAAGGGAATTCGGCCTCCGTCAAGCTTTACGAACGGAAGGAGGAGGAGAATCTCGGGGATCCGAATCCACAATGTGACATCACGGCTATGCCACCATTCTCCCCCGAGGAGGTTTCAGAGGCTGTGCACTTGCACACGGCCTCGTTGCAGATGGAAATACAGCTTGCACGAGAAGAGGTGCGAAGTCCAGTGGTCTTGCGGATGATTTGTGCCGTTTTCGGATTGGTCTTGGATTGAGAAGATGAGATGTACAGGCTGAAGTTCAGTCAGCGGTGTGCAATGTATCGCAAACAAGCTCTGTGATGTCAACCAAACATGTGTATGGTTTGCTGTCTTGGCACCACTGGCAAACGAGTATAGCATGGAGAAGAAATGCGTACTTCCTCTTGCCAGCATGTTGGATCTTGTTTCCCCATCATGATTCGTGTACTTCGACCGGCCTGTGTCGTGAGGCCTTGTCACTCTCCCGCAGACGCGACGAGCTGGAGAAGACCTGGCAGCAGGCCGTCTTGATGTCAGTAGCAATGCTGTGCAGATGCAAAGCATCAGGATTAACTGTTGAGCGATGATCGCAAGTTGGTGGACAGCGGCGCGGGAGCTTCCCTTTTCATGCCATGCACATCGGCGACGAGGGTCCAAAACGGAGCCCTGCAACATGTCTCTGAGATGAACGGACCAGGAGCATGGATAATAAGCGAGGCCTTCTGTGTAAGGCCCGCGCAGCTCTGTGTGTGGTTTACCAAGTTCTTGCGTTCGCACGGGACCCCCGGGGCACCCGGGGCGGTGGTCAACGAAGACCCGCCGGGATAAGCCCGTGAAAACGTACCTGCATCGTGTCACGAGGGGCCAAGCCAAAAACCCCAATGCAACGAACTCTGGCTACTGCTTTCGGAAGTCTTCAAGTGTGTGTGTGTGTGTGTGCAGCGCTTGGCACAAGGGGCCAAATAGGTCATCCCGAAGTCTCAAGTACTAAGCCAGTTTACACTTGTCGAACAGAACAGCTTGAAGGAGGAAAAGCACGCGTGACATTGTACATAGGAAGGAGGAGATTCGTGAAGCATGATAGACCCCGGTGGTGTCGGAAAAGCAAAACATCTTTGCAAATCTGAAAGACCGTGGTTCATGAGATTGGTGTGAATGCCCGGATCGAACGCAATGGAGCCCCACTGGAAACCGGGGGCGGTTTGAGAGGGGAGTGGTCTTGTCGCAACACATGGCAAGACAAGGCAAGGCTACGTCGGCGGGACTGCCAGAAATCTCGCAAAGACCATGCTCGTCCCACCCACAAATCGTACACACTCTGTACAAGCCCAGCGCAGGACGTCCATCGGCTGCAACTGCAAGCTGAGGCAGCGGAGTCTTTCATTTGCGCAATGCTATGAACAGACTCCCGCAAGTCGGGCGATCCTAGACTGATCAACAACCGTATGCATGGCTGAGATCGGTTAGGCCTTGCTAAGGCCGCGAAGATCCGCTCTGCTCCGCCGTAAACAATGTCGCATCGGAGCTCCACCCAAGCACCGAAGTGGAAGTCCAGGACACTGAGTGCGTCTGAGTAGTATGCTTGCTTGCAGGCATTCCGACAAGAGAATATGGGTGTCAGACAGTGGGACGAGGCCAGGAATGCTTGCGCAGATTTGAAGTGGCGAGGTTCAGTTTAACTGCGATCGGTTGGAGCAGGCACGCAAAACATAATCTATGCGACATGCGTTTAGGCAGAGCGCCGACTCCTTGATGAACAGCATCGCTGCTTGGAGCTGACTGAGAACTTAAAACGCCTGCAGCAGGAGGCGGGCCTCTGCTAAAGCACACGAAGCACAAGGATTTTCAAGGAGATCCCACGACACTGCATGACCACTCTCCA